TTGATGGTATATACATAGTAATTGGATATGAATCATGGGGTATGAAATTGCGTTCAAGTTCAGACTGCTTCTTCCACTTCTTTACTACGCTCGCCCCACGCTTGATGCAGAGAACTCGTACATTCCTTTTGACAACTCGGCCGAGTGCAAACCCAAAATCTCGGGCCGGCACTAAGTGGTTTCTCGCAAAGCGGTCTCATACATTTGTCCCACTTATACCCATGAACTGAGTGGCCCTTCCTCAACATTACTTTTGCAGCCGCGGTCCTCTTTGACTTGATCTCTTTAACTGACAGTTGGATGCAAGTGTTGCAAACAAATACAGGTACTTCCCTGAGATTCTGTATGGGCCCTCGGTATGTGCTAGGATTGAGGAAACGCTGGTACATAATGGATAGCCAAGGAGGATCAGGAACGCATTTGCACTGTATACCCTTACGTCTTGTACTGGTAAGGTTTTCTTTAACCGCAACATGTTGATAGTAGCAGGACTTGCAGTATGGGATGCAGTTTTCCAAGTGGTGTAGTGGGACCGATTGTATAAACGAGGTGGACTTGTAACAATCCGAGCATATCTGGATCCAACACACTGAACAAGGAGTTTTCGCGCCACCACCACGGCAAGTATATTGTTTGAAAAGGTTGAGGCGGCGGTGAAGATCATCGTAGGGGAGGACCGAGTTACGGACAGATTTGGAGACGGAAGACAGGCTCAAGACATCGGCGTAGTGTAGGTGTTGAGTGACCATCATGAGCATGTCGTAGATGCCGAGGAACTGTGCCAATTGCGTGGGCTCTCCGTCGGTGCCTTGATACCTCCTTATAGTATCCTTGTTGAAAAGCTGTGTCTTCAGTCCTTTGAGCGCAATCTCCGTCTTCTGCTCCGCCCCAAGTGTCGTTTTCACGGCATACCGTCGCGCTGTTCGAACTGGTACTTTTACCTTTTTAGGTAAACATATGCGGAAAACAAAGACCGGGATAGTATGTAGAATAAAGGGAACAAGCATCACGGCTCCCATGGGTAGATAAATGATACATCCCCAGAGGAACATAGTGCATGCCTTGATTGTGTGCAAGACCTTGACGAATTGTTGTTTAGCAATTGGTATGCAGCCAACAAAAGTGACAATGCCAAAAAATGCCATCAATGCGTGGAAGAAGCTAGGGCTGTTAGTAGTCAATGATAAGTTGGGGGGGGGGGGTATGGACAGCTCACACTATAGAGATGCCGTATTGCCGTTCCTCTACAAAGTTCTTGCACATTTTGGTAGGGGTTGTGACAGTCGCATTCAGCCTCGCCGCAGCAGCGAAGAAGCTTTCATTAGTCCCTAGAGGTCGCTGATCGTAAAAAGTGGACATGTCACTACATGCCCTTTTCTCCGTGGGCACGTATCCGCTTTGATATTCCGCAACACGGGCTATGTAGACGGTAATTAGGATATCCCCAACGATGATTGGGAGATGGAATGGCGGTAGCAGCCATATATATGGTATCCAGATTGTAAGGTTCCAGAAAAATCCAAAGACACCCCACCGGTTTGCAAGCCTTTCGCCGGTCACGATAGTTGGATCGTAGGTGCCATTGTGAAGCAGGAGGTTATCATTGATTACGTCGTTGTGGAGTGTCGCATAGTTCTGGTAATAGATGGTCGGTGCCAGCATAATGAAGCGGAGAAAGATGTTTATGCCGTGTAAGAAGATGAAGAATCCGTAAAATTTGAGATCTATCTGCGTCCGGGAGACACTGATGAATACCATATTGGGCCTAGCAGGTCGCTGAAGCGATCTGACTTTGTGCGATGGAATTTACAAAACAAGGATCTGTCCAGTTGTAGAACAGGTGAAGTTTGATGGATCATGAAAAGTCAAGTCTTTATGAGATACAAGAACAGGAGCACACGAGATACGAGGTTGCGGAGACTTGAGGGGGTGCTGGATGCCTGGTGCGCAGCCGCGCAGCACAAGGCTGAACCGATTGTCTGGTGATAATGTTTACCGAAAGCATTATCCGGCCCGTTTATGCCTGAGCGTGGGGGGGATGCAAAGAAGTATCAGGTATGGTGTTGCAGCCTTGTAGCCCCGCAGTAGAAAAAGAAGGCAACTTGAAGGGCGCGGTCAGCCAATGTGGGCTAGTTCAAAGTTACCGGTGAACAGGACAGAGCGCAGTCCAGTTAGCCACGACAGTGTGCATCTGCATCTGCATCTGTCGTACTCGGCTTGGTGGCAACCGAAATGGCCAAAGGCCTGGAGCTGGACATGACGTCGATCAGAACGGGCGTGAGTCAGGGGGAGAAGCGAAGCATGTTATGCGCACTGTCGCGTTGCCCATTGCGATTGGCGCAGGGCTCATGGTGGCCGAACCTGTGGGCACAGCAAATGAGAAATGACATGTCGCAGCAAGGTAGGGATGTCGAGCAAGATGAGGGCGGGCGTAGTATGGCGTCGTGGTGGACAGGGCGGGCGAGGCGAGTGAGTGCACAGCTCGAACCGCCGCGAGCGGGTCGGTGTCGCCTGGGCAACGGCGGGTGTTTATCGATGCTACAAGGTGCCAATACACCCCTGCACCTAGCTCTATCAAGTACACCTGCGATTCCCTAATCTCGGCCCACACGAGGCTCACCAGAAGGGCTTCTCCGCAAAAAGGAACCTCTAGCTGCATCTTAGCCCCCTCTCGAAACACACACCCTTCCGGCTCCTGCATTGCACAGCTTCGACGTTTCGCCTCAACACCCTCGCCGCCGCCTCATCGTCTCAGCATACAAGTCGAGCTGATAGCTGCCACTAACCCCGCCACAAGGATCTTCGTAACCTTATCCGCCATGGAGGCTCTCTTGTCGCTCGCCTTTGACAATATTGCGTCCAAGGATACGCAGAAAATTCGCAAGGGACTACGGCAGATTGAGGGCATGCTGGCGCAGATTTGTCTCTCTGGCGCAAAGTCGAAACCCAGCACACCAGGCCACCACCGGAATGCCTCAGCAATCACTTTGAGTGAGCAACAGCAACAGCAACAAGCCACGGCAAAGAAGTTGGGACAGCTATCAGACGATCTCGCCTTCCGAGAGTTTTTTCGCCTACAAGAGGGGTTCGAATGGAATGGTGGGTCGAGTCAGCAGATCAACAACGGGCAAGATGCTAATAGTGTAAAGTTGTGACCAGGGTAGCCGACTGTCTGGATCGATTGCTTGGTATGGGTAGTAGCAAAGGTAGGAGAAGCACGCAGAGGTGATAACGATTAACAGCTAACCATGATTACAGATGGCCAGAACGACATCCTCATCCTCTCGTCGCTTTCCAACATACAAGGTCTCCTCCTTCTACACCCCCCGTCACGCATCATCTTCGGGCGCGAGGTATACATGAACCTTCTCCTCGACCTACTCGACCCCTACAACTGCCCGGCGATCCAGTCACAAGCCCTCCTCGTCCTCGTCTCCGCCCTGCTCGCCACACCCCAAAACACGCGGATATTTGAGCACATGGACGGCCTGCTCACAGTGACGAGTCTGTTCAAGGACGAGGAGACAACACAGGGCGTCAAGGTCAAGCTGCTTGAGTTCTTGTACTTTTACCTCATGCCCGAAATGCCTGTCTCGGGCCCTCAGCGGGGTCGCGACAAGGTCAGGTCGGCCATGGACCGGCGGGGGAGCACCGACGACGGCAGCAATGGAGTCAGAAAGCACACACGGTCGCAGGCTGAGAAGCAGCATATGCTAGGCAAGTACCTCAACAATGTGGATGCTCTGGTCGAGGATCTGCAGGAGAGTGCGCCATTTACAAACGTCGCCTGCTAAGAGCGATGCAAGGCACATTTTTCATCTGTCTTTTTTTCCTTTCCTTTATCTATGCTTACTTTGCTTGACCACGTATTGGTCTCATTCAGCGCGGCGTCACGGAATGCTTGGTGTCATTCGCATCCATACCTGTCGCAAACACCATAGCTATTATTGCTACTTTTTCCTTTGTTACAATGCATTGCTGCTTTTTTGGGAGAGCGAAAGACTGATAGCTTCATTGCATATTCCAGCGGATACCTTTTTTCTTTGTAGACTACGTCTCTTGTTGGGTTTGGTGGGTTTGTTGACGTCTCAGATTAAAGCGAGACGTTGAGCGTGTGGGCCTATTAGAATGACGGTGGGGGCATTCCCTTCTTGACCCAATGCTGTCATTGAATAATACTCTGTGCATATATGTGCGACTTGTGCAGTGTGAATTGCGTGACATGTGTAGGCAAATTTCATCCCTTGGCCATTTCTGGTCTAGGAAAGCTGGTTTTCAACCGCCTGGGTCGGCTTCGGCGCGCATATCCTATCAGCAATGGCTTGTTGAGGCGTGGTTGACATGGCGCTGATGTTGCAGTCTTACTGCATGGCCTACTCGAGACGTGATATGTAGTATGTAAGCAAGGCAGATCGTGGATACGTGCACCTGGATGATTGGGTGCTGAGTGGATGCCTGTCAACGGAGGCCCAGCGGACGAGGCTACACCAAGTCACGTGCGAGCAGTCTCTTGTCTCGTCTCGTCTTTCTAAGCAGATCACGTTGGTCCCACGTGCAGCGGACCAAACTAGCCTAGCGCTCGGTGATCGACGGAAGCTAAACCTTTGCCGCCGTGGTCGCGTGCCCAGTTGTGAGATGCTCGCATTACAAGGCCTTCCAACGGAGTGCGCGGATAGCGAGCTGGCAAGCATCGGAGCCTCCGGACGGGCAAGTATTACTGCGAGAAATTCCGTGGTAAGTTTGATATTGTCAATTGAACTGTTTACGATCACTTCCAACCAGTACCTCTGTAATGCCTGGGCTGGTGAGCACTTGAATGCTGCTGCCCAAAAACTATCTGTAGTCATGACGCACACTTTAGCAAATCAGTAAACTCCTTCTCGGAAGGTCGGCTATTCACGCAACGCCCGGCACTACAGAAAGGCAGCCCGCAGAGCAACTTCGTCCGACCATTCGCACGCCTCGCCAACCCATGACCTCACAGCTGCTTCGCTAATACCTGCATGCCGTCTCTTCCGTCGACACCATGAATGTGCCATGCTTACTGTTAGTGCTCTCCACTGTCCTCTTTTGCACCGTCCTAGCTGCCCGTTTCTGAAATCTTGCATATACCAGAAGTTTTTCTTTGCTTCTTGCTCTTTCTTACTTGCCCTGCCTTTGAGCTGGTTGCCTTGCAAGTGAGCAAAGCCGGAACGCCTTGCGCCTTGCGCCTCATACATCTGCCCGCATCCGTCTTTGGTCCGCTTACTCGATACATTGTCAACTCTACCTACAACAAGCAACATCCCGGAGGAATAGTGGCGTCTACTTCTTTCTTGTAAAACTACAGTAACCTCTAGATCGCATACCTTTGCTTTGTTCGCCTGAATATCCCACCTGGCATAGTATCACATCATGGGCGCAGGAGCCTTCATAGAACCACTTGTGGTTATTACCCTACTCTTCGGCGGTACTTGGGTGAACCGCAACACAGAATACCGTCTTCTTAACCGACCAAAAGTCTATCACCACTCGCCCCGCTCCGCCTCACCCGAGTCCGGTCGATCGAGTCCCCTGTCCAGCACATCACTTCTCGCCAATGTCGACGAAGAGCCACGATGGCAGACGCGCGAAATCAAGATACTGGGCATGCGCAAACAAGTTCTCAGCCCAAACACCCGTAGATTCCAAGATTACTTCCTATCAAGACTACTCCAAAAGTTTCCCTTCTTAGTCGAAGCATGGTACTGGGCCCTGATCTACTGGGTACGTCAAACTTCACCTGCGTAGATCAACCAAAATACATCAAAATGCTGACAGCTGTTACCAACGCAGGTCTACCAAGTCGGGCGCGGCATAAGCGCCCTTTACCTCATTGACGAAGGCACCGTAAACGTCGCTCGCCGCCACGCCTTGCAACTCATCGCTCTCGAGCAGCGCCTGCACATCTTCCTCGAACTCGACATCCAAGCATGGTTCCTCAAGCACCCCTTCATTCTCCACTGGACAAACCGCATCTACTCCTTCATCCACATCCCAGGAACCATCCTCTTCCTCGTTTGCCTCTACTACTACACCACAACCCGCAACCGCGTTGATTTACCTTTACACAACAAGCCTATAGGTGAAGCATCCGGCAGTCCCGCAGGCGCAGCTCTCTATGCAGCCCGCCGCCGCACAATGGCCACGTGCAACCTCCTCGCCTTCTGCATCTTTACCCTCTGGCCCTGCATGCCCCCGCGCCTCCTCTCCGACCCAGACGTCACCGGTGACATTGGTAAAAAAGCCCGCAGCTTCGGCTTCGTAGACACGGTGCACGGCGCCGAAGGCGAAAGCAGCGTCTGGACGCAAAACAAATTCTGCAACCAGTATGCTGCGATGCCCTCGCTGCATTTTGGATACTCGCTGCTTATCGGCCTTACGGTTATGACGATTCCGCTTGCGCCGCAGCATGCGCGCTCGAGGAGTGTCGCGCTCACGATGGGATTGCGCATGCGTGTTCCGTCGCTACGCAGGTTTCTGTGTGTAGTGCTGGGTGTGGCGTATCCGACTATTATCCTCGTTGCGATTGTGGCGACGGCGAATCATTTTATCCTTGATGCGGTTGCTGGCGCTATGGTGTGCGGGCTTGCCTGGGTCGGAAATGGGGTGCTGCTTAATTTGCTTTCGCTGGAGGACTACTTTTTGTGGTGTGTACGAATTCACAAGCCGGAGAGGCGGTCGGTTGGGTCGGGTGGAGATGAATTTAAGTATGGGTCCAAGGGTGTAGTTTTTGATTAAGCTATACCCTTTGTTTTTTCGAAGAATAGGGGGGGAGGGGGGGAAGACGATGTTGTTTGGACGTGGAATGAGGACAGAGTCGGATTAAGCGGTCGGAAACTTTGACGGCTTTTGTATTTGATGAATACCCCCGCCGGTTATATACCATAGGTTTTCCTTTTTCTTTTACGATACGCTCGTTGGCCAGTAGCAAGCTCTGGGTTATGGGAGTTATTTGTTTATACAACTGTACCTTAGAAGAGGCGGGTGAAGAGATCAAGGCATGGTACTTGATTCTGTAATCCCTATTAATAAACTAAAGTATTAATTTACCTCGATGGAAGTCATATATTGGCACTATAATATGCATGTTTCCTAGTTGAATAGAAGAAACTTGAGAGCAGAGAGGAATCATTAATTTCCTTAGCCCCTAACTCTTCCTCTACAACTAGATGGCCATCTTTTCTCCATATCCTTCCTCTTTATCTGCTTTCTCGCACGTCATCCCATCCCATACTACACTACCCCCTAAAAGTATACCATCTCATCCCTCCGCCTCCAACTGATGCTTCCACCCCATAATAAACGAACACTCCATTTCCTTCGTCTGCTTCTCATTAGCCAGTTCCCTGCCCCCAAGTCCAAAGAAAGGAATCACTCACCCTAACCCTCCTTTCCCCACCCTTACACCCACCCACCCTCCACTCTCCAGCCCTACACCCCCCACAACCCCCCTCCCCTTCCCCATCTCTATCTCCCCATTCGCACTTCCACCCCCCCTCCCCTTCATTCAAATACCCAAACCGCAACTCACCCCTCCGCGCATCAAACGGCCCCACGCTAAATGTCTGCGGGTACGCGGGGATATGGTGGTCTACTATAGCGCGCGTCAAGGAAGTCAGGTTGATGATGCGGGATGTCCAGTTGCCGTTTGTGAGGGTTGCATTGGCGGGGGAGGGGGAGGAGCAGAGGGAGGTGAGGGTGAGGTGGAAGGGGTAGAGGATTATGGGTTCCGGGTCGTGGGGGCGGGTGGTTTGGGTTACGCGGGCGGTTTGAGTTATGGTTTGGGTGGGGAGATTTTTTTCGTTGGCGTCGTTGGCGTTGTTGGCGTGGGCGTTGGTGTTTGCTGTTATGGCGGCGTCGAGGGCGTGTATGACTGTTGGGATTGGGGTATAGAGGACGGTGGAGGGGTCGGTGCCTTCAAGGAGCAGGGCAAGGGCGGACTCGGTGGGGGAGTTGGGTACCGTGAGGGCGGTAATGAGGAGGTGCAGGAAGAAGATGAGGAGAAGTGAGAGATGCATTTTAGATTGAAGCTGTAGGGTGTGAGTGTCTAGATTGTTGACAGTGCTTAGGAGAATATACGAATGTTCAGATAATAGACTGAATCGAGCGAGTGTATTGGTGCAAAGATTACTTCTAGGGAATAATCGAAGTGAGAGGACTACAGAATACGATTTTGAAAACGAGTCAGATATTTGTAAAGACAGCGTCACCTCACGGTGAGTACAGTTGGAGAACAAGACGCACGGACAGTGGGCAAGCAAACGGACAGAAGATGCTCATATTGGATGCACGACGTGACTGGCCAAACAAAGTGGTACTCGAGAACAAGCGTCAAGCATATGCCCGTAGAAAAATGAATGGCAAGGAATTATAGATAAAATTGGCAGGTACCAACTCGCAAACATGAGACATGCAGGAAGTTTGGACGGCCAATAGAACATAGACTAGGGCCTGTGTGTTACCAGGTGAGAGATTACAAAGAGTATACATGACATTTTTGTGTACATTCAACAAAATCTCCGGGTATAGTGTTCAAAGAGGGTATGGGTAACCGCAAACGCCAATTGTGTAATGTCCTAGCACCAGTCTAGCAACCAAACAGAAGACTCGAGAAAATTTGACATAGGAAATGGGAACGCAAGGAGAACTTTTTTTTAGTGTCTGCTGCTCCTGGTGTTATTGCGACTGGGTCTGTCGTCTCTGCGTCGGTCGTCTCTGTAGGAACGTTGAGTGTCCTGTCGGTAACCCATTTCCTCGTCTGGGATGCGCTGGCCACGGTAGGATTTCTGTGGTGGGCGCACATCGTCATGTTCATCGTTGAAGGCGTTGCGACGGTCTTCAATTTCGTCGTCAAAATCAATATAGACTGAAGCAGGACGAGGTCGTGATTCCCGAGGCATTTTGGCTTCGCGTTCGATCAACTCCTTGGGCTTGTACACCTTGTCTAGGTGTTGCTCGAGGAGGCGAACGTTTTTACCATTGGCTTTGATGGCGGCGCCGGCAAGATCACCGAGAAATGGCACGAGACCGGCGAGAAAGTCAATGGCGGTGTTGACCACCATGAGAAGGACGACCGTGGCAGGCAGACCACATTCAACCTTCATCATCTGGCGAACAAGGTTGAGGGCCAGGGCGGCAGCCATAGCGTCGCCAGCAGCAGGGAATAGGCCAATCACCGAAGCCCAGCCGAAGCGAATTCCCATAAAGGAAAAGAGAGCGTAGTCGAGTCTGTAAGCGGATTTGCGGGCTTTGGCAAGGACATCTGCGTCATGTGGAGGAATGTAGCTGGGAATTTCCTTCTTGACCTTTTTTGTCTTGCCAGGCTTCCTTGGGTGTGGGATTTCCTCGTAGAAGGGATCCTGCGCTGTCGTTAGTATGTACCACACAAAGGTGTATACAACACGAGATGTCGACTTACATATGGGCCCGATGCGCTCTTGCCCCGGTACTTTTCCATCTCCTTGCCGAGCGCCTTTTTCATGGCGTATTTGGCTACAAGATTCGCCATGGTGGGTGGTGGGTGTGAATGTGCGTGCGTTTAGTAGAAAAAGGGGCTCAAGTGGTTTCTGATGGGCTTCTGAACAGAGGCCTTTGTACGGGCCTTTAAAGCCTGGAAAGTCTTTGAAGATGAGGCGAGGTCTTTGACGTGGTGCTGCAGCGCGGCTGTATCAAAGCGCGCGGGGTGGGCTGGTTGGCTACGACGTCTTTGGGCGGAGAAATGTGAAACGGGCGCGTCGCTGGCCTATGTATAGCTGTCGAGTGCGGTTGCGCAACAAGCAAGCAAAAGACTTATTCTGCGGAGTGTAGAGGTTGAAGGAGCGACAAGAAAAAAAGATAACGGGTCTACTTAATGAATGGATGACGGTGCTGGCGGTGAAGTCAGAGCTGCCCTGATTGTGTGATGATCCCAGACAGTCCAACGTCATGGCTTCTAGCCATGGCAAAGCGCAATGCTTTAAAAGCACAGCCACAGCCGCCACACTCACAGCACATCGATCGCCTTCGCCGACGCCCAACCCGCCGCCACATGTCAACCCTCCGATAGGCCAGCCTGCCACCAACACCACAAAGCCCATCCACGCTTTTTGCTTTCATTGCGGCTGTGTACTTGCATCCACATGCTCCCCCGCATCTAGACCACTCGCTATCTACTGCTGTTCTCGCCGCCGTCCGACGCCTGCCCGCGTCCCCCCGCCACCACGCACGACACCTAGCTGCCCGCGGCATGCTCGACACGGGCCAGACATTCACCCACAATGACTCCCACAAACACGACACTAGTTGACTGGCTCGATGACCTCTGCGTGCGTTTCATCGTCAACCTGCCCAATGAAGAATTGCAGTCGGTTGAGCGCATCTGCTTCCAGATCGAGGAGGCACAATGGTTCTACGAAGACTTTATCCGCCCGCTCGACCCAAACAATCTCCCCTCGATGCACCTGCGCAAGTTCTCCCAGCTCATGTTCCAGCACTGCCCGCTGTTTTCCGCCTACTCGGGGCAGCTGCACCAACAGGCCTACGAGCAGTTTCTCGCCTACAAGACACGCGTCCCGGTACGCGGGGCTATTATGCTGAACGAGGACATGACACATGCTGTACTGGTCAAGGGATGGAAAAAGGGCGCCAAATGGAGCTTCCCGCGCGGAAAGATTAACAAAGAAGAGACGGACTTGGATTGTGCCGTCCGAGAAGTCTGGGAGGAGACCGGCTTCGATCTGAGGGAGGCTGACCTAGTCGAGCCTGACGAGAACATGAAGAAGATCACCGTGACGATGCGCGAGCAGAGCATGATGCTCTATGTATTTCGCGGAGTACCAATGGATGCGCATTTTGAGCCACAGACAAGAAAGGAAATCTCAAAGATTGGCTGGTACAAACTGACCGACTTGCCTACCCTAAGACGCAAGAACCAAGCCCAGCCGCAACAGGCACACGGACAGGATCTGATCAAGGAGAGCAGCTTCTACATGGTTGCCCCCTTCCTTGGACCTCTGAAACAGTGGATAAAGCAGCAAAACAAGCTTGGGAAACAGAGGCTGCGGAACAGCGCACACATTACACCAGCACAAGTAGCAGGTACCGATGATGAAGATGCTCAACCCGGGCTCTATGGAAATACCGCTGGCCAGATTACAAACAATACACAGTCAAATGATGATTTCGCCAACATGGTGGCCCAGCTAGGTCGCAGTCACCGTCCAAGCGATACTCTGCCAGAACTGTCTGGACAGCAACATGCATCACAGCAGCAAAGCCAGGACCCTGCCGAAGCACTTAAACGGTTACTTAGTGTGGGCATGCCATCTTCGGCAGTAGAAGCACCTAGCAATCCAGCTCCAAACCCGCAGCAAGCTAACCCACTTTTAGCATTGTTCAAGCAGGGCAATAGCCAGCCCGGAGTGGGCCAGCAGCCGCAGACACCATTCGAGCAGATCATGTCTACACCTGTGCAGCCATCAAGCCCCCATGGTCAACACCATCCTCGGCCGCCGCAGATGCAGAACATGGGACCTCCGCCACCGTTCTACACACCTCCAGGTCCTTCAAACCATTTCAACAATATGCAAAATGCACAGCATATGCATCATCAGTTCATGCAGAGTCCACCCCAACATCCAGGTTCAATGTACTCACACCAGCCCCCGACGATGCAGCATGCATTTGACCAGCGAAACCCACAGTTGTCCCATGACATGAGTGACTCTCAATTTGCGGGAGGCAATGGAAGGCCTGTCATACCACCTGCATCCAAATTGCCTGCTCCCAATCTCAACCCGCATGCATTAGGCTTATTGAATTCTTTCAAGTCCAACAACAGGCAGTCTCCTGCTCCGCAATCGCCTCAGACAACCATTGCTGCCCCACTGCACCGAAACCAGCAAACAACTCCCAGGATAGAACATCCTCTCCCTCAACATTTGCCTCATGGGCTCGTTTCGCCGCATGGACAACACTTTTCCGCGAGTCCACCACACTTCCAATCACCACAATTTCAGTCGCCGCCCATTGCCTCTAACTTTGTGCCGGAGCAACCGAAGCCAAGGAATCTTCACCAAGATTCTTTGTTGTCGCTGTTCAGGCCCACTCCTCCATTGGCAAGTCCTGAGCCGGCACCTGCAGAGCTGTCGGCATTCCCTACAACTCCAGCTTTTGCTTCTGCTCAACCGGCTGCAAATCCCTCCGAGCTGCCTAACACAGGCGTGTCGGGTGCTCGTGGCGCTCTTCCTACCAGGGCAAAGATTACGTCGGCTACCGTGAGTGGCCCAGTGAATGCTCCGGACTTTGACACTATGAAGAAGCACAGGCAGTCTGCAAACGGAAGTTCATCTGGACATTCGCCGGCCACGAACATGCCATTCATGCCTCAGCAGATTCTCAAGCGTCCTCCTCAGGCTTCTCCACAAAGTATTACAAAGGTTTCTCCGTCACCCCAGCAGCCGACTGAGGTATCAGCCTCACCTCAACCGGCTTTCAAACCGCAGATCCTCAAGCGTCCTCAGCGGCAGGAGCAGAGACAGACACCTGACGGAAAGAGTTCGTCTGGATCAGGTGCGTTCTAGTTGTTTAGACTTACCTGCTATGTTGTGCTAGATTCGTATACTGACATTGATACTGCAGCAGCACCTGCGACTAAACCCACACCGCACGCACAGGGATTGTTGGATATGCTCAAGGGAAACTCGCCCCAACCCCCTCCCGCTCAACCAGCAGTCCTGCCATCTCGCTCACCTGTGCCTCCACCCGGAGCCGCAATGAACCGTCGCGACTCTGTTCCTTCAGACCAGAAAAATGTGCTACTTTCCCTCTTTAGTAGCAAGCCATCTCCTTCGCCGAATTCTCAAGCGAAAAGTCCGATACCCCCAGCCCGCTCCCCTTTTGCGCCTACACCAAAAACATCAGTGTCAGGCGTTATCAGCCCAGTCAGTCCTTTGCCCACAAACGGCAGTGCTGGTGCAGTTAGTCCAGAAGGAATGGCGAATCGTAGCAGGATCAGCAGTATTGGAGATGGAACGGCTCCCAGCATCGTTATTCCTCCTCCCACTAGCCATCCTGTGGATAGTGCAGTAGGCATGTCACAGGCAGAAGGTATGAACTTGGGTGGTCTTGGAACTCAGGGTTTGCCCGGAAGTGCGATTGAAGGCAAGAGTCCTGTAGATAAGACATTCTTGTTAGGCTTTTTGGAAGATGTTGCTAGGCGCGGGCGTTGAAGAGTTTTTTTTTCTTGGACGGATATGCATTTCCCGGAGTTTTCTTTCATTCTTATGTTTTTTTTTGTAAATGTCTGGGTATGCTTTTAGGAATGAAAAATGTTTGATTTTTGGGGAATTGTTTGCAGCGTTTTGAGAGAGATGTGAGAGTTTGGAGCTTTGTCATTACTCGTTGGTATAGCAATCGGATCGAAAGTTTATCACAAAGGCGAATGCGAACAAGTTCAAAGGGCGCAGAAATCGTAGTTTCCCCCTTTTTCCGTATCCAAACCTTATGAAATTACCTTACTTAACAATTATCACCAAACATGCACACACCTCGAGTTGCATCCTTCACACTCCCACCAAGAAAAATCAAAAACTACTATCTACCCCGAGCCAAGCAAGGGCCCACCCCTCCCCCCTCCGATCCTACTACCATCGGAACTAGAGAAAACCCCAGTCCAAGCGTCCGCCGTTCCTTCCTTCCGCCTCCAAACCAATCACTCATCCCCTCCCCAAACAAGGCTCCCCCCTAAAAGACCCTCAAACCCCAAGAAACCGAGGCCACGTTCCTGCCGCCGCCCCCTCGGCTAACTAAACCCCCCCAACCTCCTCCTCTTTCTCCAACAGCCATCGGAACTACACTACTCCGATTGAAACGACACTGCGACACTTGTGATTCCAAAAAAACGAGTAAAGTTTATGGAATTAAGGCCCTAGTTATTATTATTTTTTGGAATTAATGTCTTTTCTGAAATTCACTTTTTGGATTTTAAGGCTTGGCTGAGGGTAGTGTCGTCATTGACGAGAGGTAGGGAAGGGTGTGTGTGTGTGTGTGTGTGTGTGTGTGTGGCGCTTTGTGCATGAGGTTTTGACAAAACATCGAGTGCGATATGGGAATAGATTTGCGGGTGCGAAACATGGAGTGGTCTTTTGTTTTTTTCTTGTTTTTCTCTTGGGGGTATCTGTGTCGTGCGACATGTGTGGACGTGTAGATGTGTTAGATGGGTGACACTGACATTGAGTGACACTGGCGCTGAGATGTAGGTTGTGTCAGCGGTGTGTGGCTTCAGGATGGAATTTGTGTTGTACCTGGTGGGTTTCCATACAGTTGGGTCTTAGTTGCGCCAAAGGTAAGGAGAGCGTTGGAAGTGATGGAGGGATTGCGCATCATTAGATTGACAAGTTCCTGGAAGAAGGACGGAGAAGTTGGTGTCACGTTGTCTCACGCGTTGTGAGAAGAAGAAAAGACTGCGATCGATTACGATGTCATCAGGGTGAAAAGAAAAAAGGGTATGCGCGCGTCAATTCGAGAGGCTGAGGGGGCATGTTCACCATATCACAATCTTTTAGAGATAGGCACACACACAAATGATAATGGATGTTGAATATAAGTTTGCAATGTACAAAAAGACAAAGTAGAAAGAGACCAAAAAAACTATAATGAAAAAGCTTTAGCTACACAAAAGGTCGAGCTAGGGTATAACTTCGCATGTCCTTTGTGGGAGAAATAGAGTGAGCTCGAAAATGCAAACGAAAAGCTCCAGAATCAGTATGTGTGTGTATCTGCGTGAGTGTTGTGTGGGTATTATTCAATCCGCTTGATTCCAGTCGTTCCCAAGCCCAATGCTGTTTTCGCCAGTTCCCATAACCGCGCAATGAAGATGCAACAGAAGTGACGCTAATCCAAGGATGAATGCAAAAAATAGTGGGTGTTTATGTCAAAGTAACAGGTAGTTAGGTGGTCTGTAAAAAAACATCTTGTCGGGCTTTACAGTGCGGCGTTCTGGCGGCCCCTATCTAGAATCTCTGAAGGCACTGCGCTTCGTGTGCTGAATCGTACTTCAGTTCCCGGGTGCGCTTTGAAGATTGGTGCCGTCGTCTGCGTGTCGTGTCTCTGATGCTTGATATCCCTTCCTACAAGTCCACTCTTGGTGCTGGGCTGCCTGGTGATACCATTTGCGTTCTTGGGAACAGAGGATGGTAGGGCTGGCATTTCAGGAATGTCATCATCGGAATAGGTAGTAGATTGCGTCATGCGGAATTGCTGCTTGAGGCGTTGCTCTTCCACGCGATTAGATTGCTGGTTAACCCAAGAGTCGACAGTGCGGAAGCGAGGGACAGAAGAGCGCGATGTCATAAAACTCTCACGGGCAACTGACTGTGCAACAGTATCGCGGGACGGGTCATGGGGTGTTTGAGGAGCCTGCGAGTTTGTCCAGCTGAACCTGCTTGCCATGCCTCCTGCACCTCCAAACCCAGGTCGTTGAGAGATGGATGGGCGGTTGGAGAGGAACTGACGGAACGATGGAGGAGCTGGGAGGTTGCTTGGTGGGCGCGATGGAGTCTCGGCAAATTGCAAGTCCTCGTCGTTGTCCAGTGATCTGGTGTTACGGGTTGATGCGCTCCGCCGTTTACCTTCAATTGGAAAGCTGGGCGAGACTGGCGTTTGATTGTCATCCCGCGAGAGAGCATCGTCAAAGAAGCTTTGGTTGCCGTCTCTAGTAGTGGGTTGACTGAAACTGTCGCTGCGTCCAAGCGGTTGCAGGCGCTTCTGTGATGACGTCGAGCTAGACCTTACTGGGATTGCAGCTGGTCGAGGGGGGTCGATTGTATCATTCATTCCATAACCACGTTCATCGTCAAAGGCATATTTCTTGTCTTGTCCGTATCGAGAGGACAGTTGTGGCGGTGGGCCACTGTGGAATTGCTGTTTGCCCTGCTGGACAACATCCCTCATGGAGAGACCACGTTTTCGCATAGTGTAAATTGCAAGCACTACCATGACAATGATGATTGTTGCACCTTTGTTTCTGTTAGCGCGACCCTAAACAAACAGGATGTGCAATCTCTGCGTACCAATGGAACCAGCCGCAATGAGCAAGTGCTCAGTTGTTTGCGAGATGGGGCTAGTATCGCCGGATCCCTGCTCAGCGAGAGGCGATGGTGACATTGCCATTGACTCGGACGGCTCGCTAGCAGCGAGAGCAGCTGGAGTAGACTGTGGGATAGACTGTGTGGTGGTGGTCGATGGGTTTACGAGCTGCCAAAGTTAGATAAGATTTCCAATGGCAGTGCTCGTCTTACAGCTGCAGATCCTGACGACGATCCGATCGAAGGAGTTGACGTTGACGTCGGCGCCGAGTACTCGTATTCATCGTCCTCGCTGTCGGAATCCGTGTCATTTGGGTTTGGTGGTTGTGGTTGCTGTCGGCGCGAACGAGATCGTCTAAGTATGCGGTTTATAGTGGCCATTGGCTCTTCCGATTGCAGCTTTCTCTTGTGCTTGACTCCATCCTTGTCGACAACCACATAACCAACTCTGTTGTAAACTCCAAGGAGCCGCGTAGCAGGCATTGTGTCCGAAATGTGATAGCCTTTTGGATAGGGAGAGCCCCTCTCAGTCTTCCTGCCGCTCGATTCCTCCACCAGACATAATCCGCGCAATCGACCAGCGATATGAAAAGCCTTCGCGATCGAAGATGGGCTCAAGTCCTAAGGCCTGGAGGACTGCGACCAGCGTAGTCGGGGTTTAAATTTTGGTAAGGATGGTGTTTGAGTGAAGGAAGGAATATGAGTAGGTAGGTAATTAACAACAAGCCCGCCAGCGGAACAAAGGTCAGAAAGGAAAGGAGCGTAGGTCAGCAGAGTAGCAAGGAAAGTCTGGGCGAACTCTCAAGACGAGACACGTTCATGCAAAAGGCGCGAGGGGTCGCATTTGAGAGAGTGCATGAAGGAGGCTAGTGCTGAGTCGCTCCTGGTCCCATGTCAGTTTGGAGAGAGGTAAAAGAGTGGGGCCGGGAGGAGGATAGGAAGGGCGAATTTAGTAGCAGTTGGCAGCCGAAAAGGCTCCAAAAGGCGGAATCAGGTAGCCACGGTGTGCCAAGGACGGCCGAGTGCGGTTAGGTTAACAGTAATGAGCAGTAAATTGGCTCGGGAAGCTTTAGATATCGTCTTAGAGTTGTCTCAGAGCGCCATGGTCGGGTTTCAGCGCCCGTCTCGGGGGCAGATCAAACGCCACAGGGGTCCGTGGTGAGACTATCGGTCGGCCTGCAACTATTGGATATCGAGGGCAGCTTGGTGAATCGCAGATGGAAGTCAAGCCTTTTCATAGTTCCCCGCATATAGGTAGCAGTGGATTGTTTGCATCTTGTGTGGTGTGCAGAATGCAGGAGGATGCAGCAGCAGCAGCCGCTTAGCTAAGTAAGGCGCAGTGCGGATGAGGGCTGTGCCGTGCAGTAAGGGAGACAAGCCATACATGTGCGTCGTACGAGGGCAGAAGGGAACCGCTGCGCCTCGCCTTGCCTTGCCTTGCCTTGGCTTAGTCCGTCGCTTGCTCCACCCGAATCTTGCGTGCGTACGGGCAATACGACAGCGTTTAGGGTCTGGCCGCCGCTGGGATCCGGCATACGCCATCGGCTCTTTCGCAGCCAGAGGCACCCAATGTTTCGAGCCAAGGCGCGCAGGGGCGGATCAACTGTTTCCTTGCTGAGGCACGGGCGCCTTGGATGCCGCGGGGAGATCGACTGTGCTCTGGGGCCCAAGCATGGATGGAGTAATAATAAAACAAAAAAGTGCGCGTATGTGTATAGCAGAGCAGACATCGATGACTACACTAGTGCCCGGCGAACTGTGGCGGGTCATGTGGCGGGTCATGTGGCGGATGTGGCAGTGGAGTGGCAGATGATGCGGCCGTGACGCGTGGTTTGGCTGTGCCCAACTCGCTGAGGCTGAGCGCATTCCGAAATGTCCGCTGGCGCTGCTACGCCCCCTCCAAGGCTGCATTGCAGCATCTGCTCGGTCATCCGCCGGCAGGAGGAGCTGAGCAAGCAACAAGTTCTAGTGCTATATAACATTGTGACGCGACCCCGGTTGGTCCGATTCTGCCTTCACTCCTGCACCCACATTCAGCCCAGCCGACGTTGGAAACATACCCCTCATCAACCCCTCACCAGCCTATACGCGCACCCTCTTCATTTCTTTTGACCACACACATCCTATCCACTTGATACGCTCAAAATGTCCGGCCCTTACGACCAATACAACCAGGGCTACCAGCAGCAATACCCGCCCCATGGCCAACAGCAGTATCCACCTCAGCAAGGCTGGGACCAGGGCGGATATCAGCAGCCTGGCTACCCACCGCAGCAGCACCAGGGCCATCACGACCCCCAACAGCAGGGCTACCAACAGCAGCAAGGTTACAACCAGCAGTATGGCGCACCTGCACACGGCGGTTTCCAGCACGGTCAGCAAGCGCCCTATGACCAGCAGCAGGGGTAAGAGAACACACTCCCAATCAAAGTCTGTCATGATGCTCACGCCATTTTCAGTTATGGCCAACAACAGCAATACCCCCCATCAAGCCAATATCCTGGTCAGCAGCCATCGCACCAATTTCCCCAGCAAGGCGCCTATCCCCAAGACCAGTACCCCCAAGGCCAGAACCCATATGGCCAGCCCCAGCCAGGCCAACACGGCCCAACAGATCCCAATGCACAGGCCGAGGGCGATCGTGGACTGATGGGCGCTCTCGGTGGCGGTGCAGCCGGCTACTTTGGAGGTAACAAAATAGGCGGCCACGGCATTCTCGGTGCCATAGCAGGCTCCATCCTTGGCAGCAAACTCGAAGACAAGCACAAGAAAGGAAAGAACAGCAACGGCTATCACTAGAAGGGTAGTACTAGACCGAGGGCCGCGTCCTTGACCTGATGCGTAATGATTTTTCTATGTAACACACGCACGTTTCTATGAATAGGTGGACTTGTCTTTGACGAAAGGGGGGAAACGCGTTCTGGATTACATGTTGATTACCCTGTAAGGGGGGTCATAGCATTGTTTTTGTGTATAAGCTTTTCATGCATTCACCTTTTAAGCCCTTTTCCACGTATACTCTTATTCACACAAACGAAATGAATTAAAACAATGAAATTGCATAAAGTTCAAATTTTACAACACACATACCCTTTCGAATCCCAGCCAGCAATCATCGTGGCCTAAAGTATACACGTGTTATGGGAACGTTTTTTTTTAATTCTCCGGTCTCAAACAAAAACCCAGGGGTTGTCCTTTTTGGCCGTTCACGTCCATCAATCAACCCGAAACAAACGCTCGACCACCTTTGTCATGTCAACGGAAACAAAATTTCTCCATTCGGCATATAACACGAAGTGAGTTTCTTGGTCCCCTACCCCGAGTCTTGGTCCAAAGAGGAGCCAACGAGAGAAACAGAGAGAAACGGGTGACGTGCGTAGGCAGCCAGCGCCTAAATACAATACGAATTTCGGAGGTGCAATTCTTTCCGAGCAGTGCTGGCGGGGGCGCGGACGTTGAAACATGCAGTGACCGAAACAAGACCGGGTTATTATTGCACACACGCAAAAAAAAACCCACCCATCAAAGTCAAGTCTTTTGCATACATATTTACGGCCTTTTACAGCCATTTACCTTAACCTTTTCCCTTTTTTCTATCAAGTAAAAGGATCGAACCAATCGGTCCCAAATCCGTCACTCGATCGATGCGCGTTGCATATCCCCCCTCTCTCTACTTTCATCCTTGGCACCTACCCACCCTACCCACTTGACGTAAGGGGGGGCTAAGGGAGAAAACTCCGTACTAGATCGTTTATCTGCAGGTACCCGTTGTTTTGAACCCAACCCCCGTACAGGTACGTCAGTTACGCCCTTTTTTTTTTTTACGTGCGATGGCGTGTTTCGAGGATTGCGGCCGGGTTCCGCGGGGGGATTACCTTGGGTTTGAAGGGAAACGGGTGAGTTTTAGGCGCTTTTTGTTGGGAAAACTGGCGGCAGACTTGTAAACGTGTGTACTTGCGTGGGCGGGCGGAGTAACGGATGGTGTGTGTGTGTGTGCGTTGTGATTACGGGAAGGGGAGTATCCTGATGAGGGGAGGCATTGCGACGTCTCGCTTTTTTTCCTGTTTCTGGTGGTTTACTATGTTCAGGTGAGTGTCACGTGTCATTTTGCCTGTTGCGCGACGCATATGTCCGACGCCCGGTAGACATGAGCCGAGGCGTCTAGGGGGTATTTCTCACGCCACTTACTACCTCAGTACATACTTTTGCGTGTTAATAGCGAGGCTCGGTCAGATTAGCGGGATGATTCCGCCGGTTTGACAAGGTGGGTGTTGGAGTGTAAACTGGATATCTTGGCTGTGTCTTGAATAGACGACGCCGGCTAGTTAGGTTTATATGGTTGCTTCATTTCGTTTTGCAGAAAGTTGGGAAACTTTGCATCTCTATAGTTACTAGTATAAATGAATGTGATTAACGTGTGACGTGACAGCTAGGCTTCTGACAGATGTATGGCTTGGGTGTAAAACGAAGCTGAACTGAACACAATAGACTATAAAGATATATTATCTACTGCTATATACTTGATGGACGCGGCTTGCTCATCATTGAGCAGCCACATCCTGGGCAGTTTGTATTCGGCTGTCTGATCCTTCCAGGTATGTCCTGCTATCCGCAGGGCATCCCTAAACCGCGTCGTAAACACCCCAATCCTCCAATCTCCAATCTTCAATGCTGTTCACCCACGTATCCAATTCCATCAGGGCCGCACTTGGCACTTGACAAGGCAACCTTTTGGCGGCCAATCGGGTAATTGTGGTTATGGTCGCAGCCAGAGCCAATGTTTGGGCTGAAATCACTCTGGCACTGTAGACATTTAGTTGATAGGAATGATATTCGGTCATGAGTTACTAACACAGTACGCCGCTCTTCCAGTACTGGGATCTGTGTTGACGCCCTGGGTGCAACAGTAGTCACCAGTAACAAAGGCTGAAGCGCTGCTTGTAGGTACAAGCATAGCAAAGATTCCGACGAGAGATGTGAATTTCATGGCGTTAGAGGTAGTACTAGTAATCAAATTATCTGTTGTTGAATGAATATGAGAAGAAAATGATACTTGGTCTATAGATATTTATGTCTCTCTGCTATGTATAAAATGAATTTCCTCTCCACTCGTATACGAATCTACCAAAACAAAACGGTTAGAATCATGCAAGCTTGCTGGGGTCTCGGAAAGTGTAAATCTCGTAAAAGTAACAATCTCTCCGAACTAGCTGGATATATATATGCGAGCGCGCTAGTTTCGACTTGGAGAGTTTTATGGATATTTAGTTACATACAACTCTTGTCTTGTAACCTTATGGATACAACTGCACTTTGCTTTCCCTCTATTCGCACTTGCGCGTGCAATAAAAAGCTATCGGTTACTAAATTAGATGTCAGTAAGTCACTAATACAGATGAATCCCTCACCTTAGGTCTGTGCGTAAAAAGCTATTGCTGATGTCGATCGTAATCGTGTTAAATGCTGACACATACGTAACACTTATCTTAGATAGAAGGACAGACAAGAGTCGGGACATGAGATTTGTTATGTAAAGTGAAAACTCCAACTAATTGATTGTAGATTCAAGAAGAGCGGTATAAGAATGCAAATGCAGTGTTTTTTCTTAGTATTATAGTAACCTTGTTGATATTTGGGCAAACGCAAACAGATACATATATTGGTAGTATCCTATGTTTTCGTAGTATTATAACTGCTAGTACTGTTCAAAAGCGGTGCTAAAGAGAGGTCGCTTTACCTGTATACTGTTCTGTCGACCCATTGCTGTAAATGCTGGTTGCACTTACTGCCACAACTCATCTGCCTAACTGGACTGGCACGGTTGCTCCGGATACCTGATTTTAGTTTGAGTATTGACTGATACGAGCTATATTTGAAGTGGCTAGATACAGAAATTTATTTTCTCAAAAAGGTGTAGTAGTCAACCAAGGAGAATACTCCGAGAAAGCTTCTTCGACACTAAAACTTGGAATTTCCTACTGTGATAGCTCCAAAAATCGAAAATCAACTGGTTTTTATACTGATTTCGATTGCCCACCGCTTTGGCTGCTCCAGCCAAGGGATGAGGGTATATCACGTGACCTTCGTGGAACTGCCAAAGCAACTAGTAGAATGATAGAAGCCGGACAAAAGGAGAAACAGTCACAAAGTAGGAGATGAGAGAGCAGTGCAGTCTGCACTATCCTCTAGCCTTGCCACAGTTGCTTAATAAACTAGTCGTGTCGTGGTCGAAGAGTAGTTAGTGTCAGTGTCTTGGAGTTCATCATGTGATCATGCTACTAACCCAAGACGGGCATCACTAGTTTGTCGGCGCAGATTGGACGAATGGCCGCGCTGATGGACAAGCCAGGCGGATTTTACTCGATGTCATCGAGTAAACTGGATATGCTGGCCGCTGACTGGCCCGGTTGGCGCCTCGGTACCCCATATTATCTTTATCTTCCTTACCGCAACCCACTATCTAGCGAGCCCTGACATGCAACCTCAACAGACCATGGTGCCTGAGATAGTGCTGCATTGCATCTCCGACAACTGGCCGTGAGCCTGGTGACATGTTTTCATCGAGTCAACTGTCCCCAAAGTTTCTGCAGTCATGCTCCTATCGCGGAGATATCAGTGCAAGCGCGGCACCGCATACTTCTTTAAGTGCACGCGATACGGTTACCGGCAATGGGGGCGCTGCGTCATACGCGGCACATCACCACCCATCATACGATGCTGCACATGGCCACGCCGCCAATTCCTGAAAATCCTACCCTCTTGGAGGGCATGAATTCAGCTGGTGTGCATCACCAGGGCCTTTTATGCGCGGGTATCGAGTGGGCCCGTGACGCTACTCGAGCATCAGAGTTAGGTGGAGCACATAACGTGGGCTATCTTGAGTCTAAGATAAGACTGCCGACAACGGTCTCTCCCACACCAACGAGAACAGCAATGGTAGCTAATCGCAGAGACGATCTTAGATGCTTCATGTGTTGCCTTGTGATCCTCCCCAGCATTTAAGATGGGCCACGCCCCGGTTTTAAGATCTACCTGCAGGCAAGATCGAGGCTCGTCTTTGTAGAGAGCATCCTAGAGCAAACATTAGACAACTTTCTTTCCCTTTTCCATAGTCGTACCCGTTCCGCGGAAATCAGCCACCGTGGATCCCGAACAGCAGCCACTTTTACCCCAACCCTCTTCAAGCGAAGGCGCACCTTCACTCGCTTCTGATAAACCCTCACGTCACACAAGCGGGGATCTTGATCCATACCAAGCTACGGCGTCGAGCAGCCGGAGCGAAAGCTTCTTAAGGCCTGTAGTGGCCGCGACAGTTTTCCATTCCAGCGACGAACCGTTTTTCGCAAATCGCATCATGGAAAAGGTCAAGAAGTCAAAGGTCGCCCATTGGGCCAACAAGCTTGCCGTCGAGAGTGAGCCTGGTCTCACCACAGCTCAGCTCATGTTGTACAATCACGATTTGAAGCCTGTATGTTCTGACCGTCGCTTTGAAAATGTTTTGTTTTCTAACATGCCCAGGTTGAACCTGAGCGCCGACAATGGGGCGCATGGAATTTTGTCGGTTTTTGGGTTGGTACGTCAATCTTGCCTCATGCGATAAAGGCAATTGACATGGGCTAATTCCCCCACAGCCGACTCCTTCAACATCAACACATGGATGATTTCTTCCGCCAACATTGTCGATGGTCTTTCCTGGTGGCAATCATGGATTTGCGTCTGGGTAGGGGATTTTGCGATTTTTCCGTAATAGCACACGCTGATTCAAATAATAGCTCGGATACTCAATCGCGGCTTGCTTCGTCTGCATGACGGGTCGTATCGGCGCGACATATCACATTTCGTTTCCCGTTGTTAATCGCGCGTCTTTCGGTATTTGGGGCGCGCTATGGCCCGTATTCAATCGCGCAGCTATGGCCAGTATCTGGTATGGTGTGCAAGGATGGATTGGCGGCACATGTGTACGCCTAATGATCCGAGCTATCTGGAACAACTGGCGAAATGTAAAGTCAACTTGCGAGTGCTTTTTTGACCTCTGACTAACTTTTTCTCTAGGCTGACTCTCCTGGAGAAGGAGGTATTGCCAATGGTATCCCCAATTCTGGTACCAACACTGTCGCCTTCGTCTCTTTCTTCCTTTTCTGGGCCGGATCTCTCCCGTTCATCTATCCTCCAGTTCACAAGATTCGCCATTTGTTTACCGTCAAGGCATTTTTCGCACCTACCGCAGGAATTGCCTTTTTCATCTGGGCGGTTGTACGAGCAAAGGGATTGGGTCCTATTGTTAAGCAACCCAGTGAAGCCAAAGGATCTGAGCTGGGCTGGCTCATGGTCAAAGGCATCATGAGCGCGATTGCCAACTTCGCCACCTTGATTGTAAACGACCCCGATTTTTCACGTTTTGCGAGGAAACCTTCAGACGCCTTTCTACCGCAGCTGCTTACTATCCCTATTGGATTTGCTGTCACTTCATTTATCGGCATCATTGTATCATCTTCTTCGACCGTCATCTTCGGAAAAGCCATCTGGAACCCACTGGACCTGCTCGAGCAGTTTCTCAACGAGGGAGGGTCAGCGCAGCGTTTCGGTGTCTTTGTCATTGCTGCTGCCTTCACCCTGGCACAACTTGGTACCAATATTGCGGCAAATTCAATCTCCGCCGGTACTGACATGACAGCTCTTGCGCCACGCTGGATCAGTATCAGACGTGGTGGTTATATTTGTGCGCTTGTCGGTCTCGTCATGTGCCCATGGAACCTCCTTTCCGACACCAACAGCTTCACCACCTATCTCTCCGCATACTCCGTCTTTCTCTCCTCAATTGCAGGTGTCATGATCTGCGACTACTACGTTGTGCGTAAGGGCTTCTTCCAAATTAAGGACCTTTACTCGGGAAAGAAAACCGGTCCATACTACTACACCCTCGGTTTCCACTGGCGCGGTTACGCCGCTTACATTGCAGGTGTCGCCATCAACGTTGTTGGTTTCGCCGGTGCCATTGGTCGCAAGGTTCCGATTGGAGCCCAACGCATCTACGATCTCAACTTCTTTACTGGATTCTTGGTTGCCAGCATCACATACTGGGCACTTTGCAAGATCAGCCCCATCCCTGCTACGAGCGATGTCTGGCTAGAGGTCGGAGATGACATTACGGATATCAGTGTTGCGTATCATAGCGATGATGGGGAGCGGTATGATGAGGAAGTCATGCATGGGGGCAGTGGAAAAGGTGTCAAGGAGGATGCCCCAACCAAGCACTTTTAAGTGACATTGGATATGTTGTGATTTGTGGACGTTGGTACTAGATGGACTTGACGCTTTGCGGGTTTAAGGGGCGAGAGATACCAGACCATGCCCGAGGTCACTGTTGTTTTGATTGCTATGAAATCTTTTATTCTAAACACTCTTATCTGCTGGTCGTCCTCGCATATTCTTATTTGCTGAAGTAGAGCAGTGACGTAATCAATTCTAGCGCTCATTATTTCCCCTTTTGGTAAAGAATAAGACGGATGCATGCAGGTCGAGAATGGGTTAGCGTATCTCCTTAGCGTCCGGTAATGTCTCACAGCTCGCAACTCGGTAAGACTGTCTCCTCGTCGTTACTATCACCAGGGATATATTATCTCGGGCGTCCAAATGCACCACGTGTCTTGCGATCCAATTAATCAGATTTGAACGTATCACAAAAGCAGTCATCATGTTTTCTCGATCGCGCTGACAAACTATATTTTTCTAACCTTGATCATTCAACCACGATACAGTATACCCGGCGATGAAGTCGAGTATGACCTCCCAACCAACAACTCGCCAAAAGCATTTACAAGACCCCCTAATCTTGGCCAATCTACTGCAAATAAGTCGCCGTCGCCAAATTCAAGTTTTGTATAAACCACAACTACCCAACCGTTCCGCTCCCAAAACATCAAGAGGTCCACGACTCGAACCCCACAGCCTCGCGCTCGCGGCCCGCACTCCGCCATCTAACATATAGTAGTAACAATCCAGCATCGCTTCCCCAGATCACACAGCCCTTTTCGTCACGCGTCAATACTACGCCTTATCTGCAATACGCACGCACTCCCTAAATTAAAAATATAAAAAAACAAACCCCCCGAATCCACACAAATCCGGGGTAATGGTTCAAAGTGGGCATTTTCTTTGTCTTGTTCCGATCGCTGGCTTACATTGCTTATTTCCCGATCTAGCTCGGGATATGTGCAAAGAAAACAAAAAGAGCCGGCATGGAGGCTCTGTCTCCGTGCCTCTTGGCTGGCTCTAGCGGGGAAACATGTATATTGCTTGTACAGTTAGCTTGCTTTTAGCCGGACCGATGGCAAGTAGAGGGCGTAGGTTGGGGGGTTAGTCGTTTATTATTGCGGGGTCAACTGTACTATCGTATTTCTGATGGGGCGATGGCGGGGGGCGAAGGGTGACGGTGGAGTCCATGGAAGGGAGGAGGGGAGCTGGAGATGAGTGGGTAGATGAGTTGGTCATGTGGGAATAACGGGGGAGTGATATAGGGGGAGGTTTGATTTGGACGGTGTATTGTCGAGGGTGAGTGTATATAAAAGGGGAGGCTGCGTGCAAATTGGAGAGAAGGAGTGTGAGATAGTGTTGAAGACGAAGAGCAAACCAACTACTATCGACTCAACATGTTGTTCTCCAATATCTTCCTGCCTACGGCGCTCCTGGCTGCTCAGGCTGCTGCCCACGGCGCAGTCACCAGCTATGTTATTGATGGCGTGACATACCCAGGGTAACTACACCACCATCCCCTTCTTCCCCTACACCTCCTCCATAACAAAGCTAACCCATCCACCCCCTACCCTAGCTACGAAGGCTTCTCCCCCGCCTCCTCCCCGAAAACCATCCAACGCCAATGGCCCGACTACAACCCCACCATGAGCGTCACAGACTCTAAAGTCATGTGCAACGGCGGCACATCCGCCGACCTCGTCGCAAAGGTCAAAGCCGGCGGCAAGATCCGCGCAATCTGGAAGCAGTGGACCCACGAGCAAGGCCCGGTTATGGTCTGGATGTACAAGTGCTCCGGCGACTTCAAGTCGTGTAATGGAAGTGGAAAGAAGTGGTTCAAGGTAAGTCTTCCCTTTCCTCCATCTCCTCGCCCAAAGAAAGACAAGTAGGAGAAAGAAAAGCATCAGGAACGCTGACGCGTACGTACAAAGATCGACCAACAAGGCATGACCGCTCCCCCCCTCTCCGGCCGCAACTGGGGCACCGCCTTCGTCCTCAAGAACCTCTACTGGGAATCCACCGTCCCCGCCACCCTCGCCGCAGGCAACTACCTCGTGCGCCACGAGCTGCTCGCTCTGCACCAAGCACGCAGCCCGCAGTTCTACGCTGAATGTGCGCAAATCGAGGTTACGGGTGGAGGCTCGGCGTCGCCGAGTGGCGATTACCTAGCTACGATTCCCGGGTATGCGTCGCAGAATGATCCGGGTATCATGGTCGATACGTATAGTAGCTCGCAGACTACATATACGTGTCCCGGACCGAAGGTGTGGAGTGGTTAAGAGATGTGGAGATGGATAAGGGGAAGATGGGGGGGGGGGGGAGGGAAAGGGCCGGGCAGGGCTGGGAGTGAGATTCTGGTTTTTGAGAGGTGAAGAGCAAAGTGTATATAGTAGTGATAGTGCATGAATACGAGACTGTAGAGGAATGATTTGAACTTTTATCTTTATTTTGTTTTTTAATCAACTATCTACTATCAAAGAATACAGTATTCATCGCTTTCGTTCTTTGCTATACAAACATCTGACATGGATGGAAAAAGGGGGGTATAATAAACAAAATGGCGCACCAAACTGTAACACTTCTTCCTCTACTACTCATCGTCGTCGTCGTAATCTTCTCCAACAGCAGCCCATCCACATTGCCATCTTCTTCCCTCGCTCTCTCCACCTGTCCTAAGCTCCCTCGCCTGGGGCCCTTCTTTCCACCTTCGCACGCGGAAGTCATCGCTTACGCTGATCAAGCTACCGTTGCGTGCCCATGACACACTGGTGACTTCGGCGTCGTGGCCTCGCACAAGAGCCGTTCCATGCTCGTAGATAGGAATCGTGTCTGGACAACGGCTGTTGGTAGTTGAACGGGATAGCAATGGTCTGGAGGATTTTCCGGTAAGGGTAGAAATGTCCGGGAGGTCATCTGTATCGTCTTCGTGTCGTGTTTCGCGCTTGAGAAACGTTTCATCAGTAGGGAATAATACTGGACCGCCATCTGTGCTGCCAACTGCGAGCATCTCCGTCTGGTCATTGCAAGTCTTTCGCAAAGATGCCTTGACGTAGAATGAACCGGCATGGAAGCTCTGGTGACGGAAGCCGTAAATAGGCCCGAGGCCCTCTTGGCCAACACCGCAGTATTTTTGTTTCGATGCAGATGTCGAAGAGAGTTCAGGAGCTACACCGAGGATAAGGTGGTTTGTGGAATAAGCATAAACGGTGTTATCCTTGCTTAATGCGTAGAGTCGGGATGCGTCGCCACTAAGGGTAAGTGAGTTGATGGCAAAGTGTCGGTGGCGGTTATGGGATTCGGGGTGTCGTGTAGTCGCAATGGGGATGGCTGGGCCTCGCAGAGAGTATCGACCTCTGATGTCCCAGAGCTTGACGCATGTGGAAGCATCTGAGGCAGTCAAAAGCAAATGCTCGCGACCTTCGGGTAAGAAAGTGAGAGCAGTGACGGAGATGTCGTTTCGACGATTGATGCTCTCTACCTTGCTGCTCGATGCAGTTCGGGTAGCAGAGAGCGCAGATGACGGCAAGCTAATGTCGGCATGTGCTGAGGCAAGGGTTCGGACGACGCTGGCATATGGGGCATCGGATCCCCAGGCTGAATGTATTGATCCTTGGTTGCCCTTGCATCGGAGGTCCCAGATCTGCACAGCACCGTCTCGACTCGATGTGGCTACGATCTTGTCATCGCCCGGCTGGAAACGCACTTGCTTTACTGATGATTTGTGTTTGGCCAGTACAGCAAGAGTCTGCTGCGTACGAATATCGACAATCTGTGCAGTTTGGTCACCAGACCCTGCTGCCAGATGAGAGTCATCAGAGGAGAATTGCAGGTCCATGATGGCGTTGGAATGAGCTTTCCATGATAAATGTGCTTTGGAAAAGTCGCCCTCGGAATCTAACAGGTGGATGTTTCCATCTTCATCTCCAATGGCGAGTAAAGAGTTGGCTATAACAGGTTAGTGTTATGACGGTGATTGCTGTGCATGAAACTCACTATTGCAGCTGGCGGTGCAAAAGGGCGGGGCGTCTTGGGGTAACTGATGCAAGTCGTCTGAACTACTATAGAAGTTGGCCGTCTGGTCCTGCCATGACGCGCCATGGTCTCTTCGAAACCCTCGACCTACACCGACGACGCCACCAAATGACCGTTGCAATGTTCTTGACGGTCCTCCTAATTGCTTCAGCCGCCGAATGGGTGTGGGGTATACGGCGGGCTCATCCAGGTCAGCCAAGTCGTCGAGTACATCAAAGGCCGGTGCATCGAGTGCTGGAGGGGTGACGTAACGCGATCGTTTCGAGGGCGATGACTGGGCAGGTGAACTCTCAGGGGATAGATAGGGTTTCCGCTTGCGGCTGCTCTGGGGAGTGCGCATCTGATTCTCAATGTCGACAAAGTTGACTGTTTTTCGGGGGGTACTTCGCGTTGCCCGGCCACGGTTCAAAGCTGACCGGGTGATGTCCTGTAACTGACGGCCCGAGCGCGAGAGCGAAGTGCGCGAAGAGACATCTTTGGAGTGTCGGGGTGTGAAGAAGCGAGTGAAGCGCTTGGGAGTGATGGGGGGTGGCCGTTTGGGCTTCCGTGAGCAAGCTGCTGCGGATGAAGCGGGAGGCGGCGATGAGAAGAGCTCCGGAGTGGGCTCCTGGAGGAGCATGCTGCGAGGGGCACAGGGCGACGACATGGTGTTGCGAAGGGGTGGGAGTATGTGAGAGAGACACCAATGCACAGCTTAGGTGAACACACGCGGGCAGCCAGGAAGGAGCGACCCCGATATGGGACGAATGCTCATATGATACGCCCGGCGAGGTTGGAGAGGAAGGTGCACGACCTGCGCACGTCGCGAAGAGCAGGCGCGACCGACGTGCACCGCTATGCCTTTTTGGGCTTTAAGTGGCCCGGCGTTCCCTCCAAACGCACCCTCTTCACTGGCAATGCACGGCAGTGAGGCCTGTTTGGAGCACGGAGAGTGAGTGCATGTTGATCGCAATGCTCCAATTCATCTGTATCCCGAAAATTGACACCATATACCATGAGCAGCGTCGTTGAGGCGTCGCGTGCCATCTCGTCATCGAGGACGTGAGAGGCGCGGCGTCCCTGTTGGCGCGGTTGGTGGGAGAACCTGGGCGCATGGACCCACCAAAAAAAGTCGAAGAACATTGCGCTTCGAACTCTTGGCGGAATCTTCACCACTCGACCCTCTCCACGCCCGCACACATCCCACACCACACAATGGGCGCGGTCAAGCGGAAAGCAGAGCAGGGCGCCACCCCGTCCAAAAAGCCCAAGGGCGCATCCGGCGACCGATCAGCGAAGCGGCGCAAGTCCGATGTCGACCAGCAATCGCCTGCAAAGGCGAAGCTTGAGAACCCTGCACCGCCAACCAGCATTTTCAAGGATGAAGAGAAGAAGTCGTTTCCCAGAGGAGGCGCCAGTGTCTTGACCCCACTCGAACACAAGCAAATCCAGATCAAGGCGAACCAGGATGTTCTTTTCGAGCAATCTGGGCAGAAGCGTCCCGGCGGCGATGATGGCGAAGGATATAGCGACATGGGTTCCGAGGACGATGAGAAAAAGTCTGCGCCTAAGTCAAAGAAGAAGATGACTAAGAAGAGCAAAAAGACACACGAGAGCGGCGACAAGGAGGATGTAGTAAAGGTCGAGACTCTTAGCTACAAGGTAAGAAAAATGCTGCGCAGCTCCGGCGCTAGACTAATCATACCAGAAACTGTCGCCTGGAACTATTGTACTTGGTCAGATCACCGACATTTCCCACCAAGACCTTGTGCTTGCCCTCCCCAACAATCTAGTCGGCTACGTCCCCCTCACTGCCGTGTCCGACAAACTCAATGAGAGGCTAGAGAAGCTCCTTAAGGAAGATGAGAGTGACAAGGAAGATGGAAGCGACAAGGATGACTTTGAGGATGCTGATCTCAGGGACCTCTTCTCCGTGGGCCAGTACCTTCGTGCATGCATCACCGCAACCAGCGGCGAAGGCGCAAAAGCAAGGAAGCGACTCGAACTTTCAATTGAGCCTAAGCTGGTCAACACGGGCCTTACCAAACGCAAAATACCCGTCAATGGCATGATACAAGCGTCTGTCGTGAGCAACGAGGACCATGGCCTGGTCATGGATCTGGGCTTGAACGATGCCACATTAAAGGGCTTTTTACCAAAGGGCGAGCTTGGTCCAAACCTACTGCATTCAAAGGTCCAAGAGGGTGCCGTCTTTATGTGCTTGATTACCGGGCTCAATTCTGACGGGCGCATCGTCAAGCTCTCTGCCGACCACACCAAGGCAGGAAACCTGACCAAGGGTAATACCTTGACAGAAGCACCTACCATTGACGTGTTCCTCCCGGGAACTGCGGTCGACCTTCTCGTTACAGAAAACACGCCAAACACAATCACGGGCAAGATCCTGGGCTTGATAGATGCGACGGCTGACGCATACCACTCCGGCGCGACTGAGAAGGCCACCGACGTGTCTCAAAAGCACAAGATCGGATCCAAAGTAAAGGCCCGTGTTTTGTTCACATGTCCTGGCTCAGATCCCAGGAAGGTCAGCGTGTCTTTACTAGACCATGTGCTTTCGTTGTCTACGCGCATGTCTGGAAAACCCAAGGAGCGCAAACCTCCTATCGACTTACTGCCAATTTCTACCATTGTTGAAAGCGCAAAGGTTGTCAAGGTGGCACCAAGCCAAGGTGCATTCTTCGACCTTGGAATCAAAGATGTTGTCGGCTTCGCCCACATATCGCGACTCTCAGACGACAAAGTCGATATTCTCTCAGAGGAGGCTGGTGCATTCAAGCTTGACTCGAAGCACAAGGCAAGAATTGTTGGTTACAACGCTCTTGACGGACTTTTCCAGCTGTCCCTTGAGAAGAAGGTCATTGACCAACCCTTTCTCCGTATTGAGGACATCAAAGCTGGTGAAGTTGTCAAGGGCAAAGTGCATAAGCTTTTCGCGGACAAGACTGGAGCAACTGCTGTTCTTGTCCATCTGTCTGATGGCATTACTGGTCTGGTTCCAGAGATGCATCTGGCTGATGTCCGGTTACAACACCCAGAGCGCAAGTTTAGAGAAGGACTGCCGGTCACAGTTCGAGTGCTTTACACCGAGCCCGCGAGACATCAAATACACCTTACCCTCAAGAAGTCTTTGGTTAACTCCGAGGTGAAGCCTTGGACAAACTACAAGATGATTTCAGAAGGTGCTACCGGCCCTGGAATCTTGGTCAACGTCCGCCGCAATGGTGCCACTGTGCAATTTTACAATCGTGTAAGGGCATGGCTTCCAGTTGCGGAGATGAGT